CCCGTGTGCCCGGGCAGCTCTGGCCCGGCCGGGGACCCCGGCAGGGCCCGGGCAGCGGTGCGCACGGAGGCGATGCTCCCTGCCGTGCCCACCTGAACTGCCGCTGCCGGTTCAGCGTGTACAGCAGGTAATCGGCCATGACGTCCTCGCCCACCAGGTGGTCACGGATGGCGCCTGCGGAACAGCCGCAAACCCCGCTCAGCCTCCGAGGCCCCGGAGGCTGCGCGTGCCCCGGCGCAGTCGCACCCCACACTCGAGCACCAGGGGCTTCAAAGACACCCGGGGCCACCCATGAGCACCCCGGCCCCCAGCTAAAGGCAGCCTTGGGCACCGCGTGCCCCTCACCGCACAGTGCCAGCTTCATGCCCGTCTCCACGTCCCCTAGCCTTGGGGGTAGCACTCCCGGCGTGTCCACCAGGTACATGAGGGGCTGCTCGCAGACCTGCCACAGGCAGGGGAAAAGCACGAGGATAAATAAAGCAGCTGGATGAATAAGTGAACACGGATAAACACGGACATGGGGGGCCAGCTGCAAGGGCAGCGCTGGCCCGGTTTGCTGCGCCCGAAGCGAAGTACCTGGATCCTGGTCAGCACCGCTTTGGTGATGCCTGGCTCGCCCCCAACTGCAGTGGCTCTTCCTGCAGGGAAAAGTGGGTGAGTCCGAGGTGATCCAAGCCGCTCCGTGACCCAGGAGCATTCCAAAGCCAGGGGGAATACCCTTCTTGAGGTGCAGCCTTCGCAGGGAGTTGATGAGCGACGACTTGCCCGTGTTGGGCACGCCGATCACCATGATGCTGTAGTCGGCGTTCTGGAAGCGAGGGGAACACGCGTGCATGGAGCAGCTGAGCCCCACCGCCCCACGTAGGGGCCTCAAGCAGTCAGGGCAGCAATCAGAAGCCCCCACGCGCCCACCCTGCATTTTTAACAGAAACGCAGACATCTTCCCCCTTTTAACTCCAGAAAGGGGGAAAGATGTCCTGCAAACTCCAGCTGTGGAGTCTGCCTGATAGCGGCTCTGCCCTGTGGAGGCCCAGGGCGACGCGAGGCCGCGCCGCCGCCTTCCGCGCTGCCCCTCACCTCGGCTCTCTGGTAGCGCGGGCTGCTGCTCACCAGCTTGGCCACCAGTGGCACAATCTGTGGAGAAGCGGCTCTAGCAGGGGGCTTGGTGCCCTCCTGAGGACACCCGTCCCCACAGGGGAGCACGCACAAAGCTCTGCGTCCCGTCCCGGGGGCAGCGTTACCTTCCTGACGTTGGCGTCGTGCTGGCAGTCGGTGAAGATGACGCACGTGCAGCCCTCCTGCTTCAGCTGCTCCAGCACCTCCTGCAAGGCATGCGGAGCCGTGTCACCCACCGCCGCCTCTGCGGCTGCGCCCGCCGCCGCCCCCGGCCACACTCACCGGCTGGCCGC